TTAGTCCACCTTTGTGGCAACCCAGTTCTAAGAACCCGGGATGGGAAAGGGATTCCCTTGGCACCAGCCTCTGGCTACCTGTGGGCCCTGAGCAGCCCCTACCTGCTGGAGAGCAGGGGAGCCACACCCCACCCTACCTGCTGCCCCAGGGTGCCAGCACAGCAGCTCCCAGCCCCTGGTTCCAGAGGTCACACTGGTAGGTTTCCCAGAGACACCGAGCCTGGCTGGGAGAGAGAGACCTTTTGTAGAGACCTTGTCTCTACAAAAATAAAATAAAATAATTAGCCAGATGTGGTGGTGCCTGCCTGTAGTCCCAGCTACTGGGGAGGCTGAGGTAGGAGGATTGCTTGAGCTCAAGAGGTAGAGGCTGCAATAAGCCGTGGTCAAGCCATGCACTCCAGCCAGCCTGGGCAACAGAGCGAGACTCTGTCTCAAAAATAACCAAACAACAACAACAAAATGTAAGAAAAGCTAACATAATTTTTAAGTGTTATTTTTTTATTATATGGGTACAGTGGCTCATGCCTGTAATCCCAACACTTTGGGAGGCCAAGGCTGGTGGATCACCTGAGGTAAGGAGTTCAAGACTAGCCTGACCAACATGGAGAAACCCCATCTCTATGAAAAATACAAAATTAGCCAGGCATGGTGGCACATGCCTGTAATCCCAGCTATTCGGGAGGTTAAGGCAGGAGAATCTCTTGAACCTGGGAGGCAGAGGTTGTGGTGAACCGAGATCGTACCACTGCACTCCAGCCTGGGCAACAAGAGAGAAATTCTATCTCAAAAAAAAAAAAAAACAGACAAAAAGAAGAAGAAGAAACAAAAGAATAAGTTATAATAAAACAGGATGTCTTTCAATATATAAATGCTCAGGCAGGACTTACCAGAAGACATAAATGAAATAGGCAGATTGGTTGCACCTACACATAATATATGTTTGAATTTAAGAGAGATAGAAGACGAGCCATTCTATGCAAAAACAGAAATCACACACATGCCAGAAAATGAAAGAGTAGCAGGAAGTGAAACTAAAATAAAAACTGTTAGGTAAGTAATAACATACCAGATGAACGTGCATGTAAGAGAGGGAAAGCATCTTAATGGAAATAGGGATAACACAGCAAGGCAAATTAGGGAGCACAAGGTGGAGATCATACAGAAGCATGCTATGCATGGAAAGGGACTGGAACTTACGTGTTTGTGTATTGTCAAAACAGCTCCCGTGGAACCGGGTCGCCACGGAGTATCATGGACACATAGACCTCTGTCTTGAAATGTGTCAGTGTTAAGGCAAAATTCAGTCTCTGGGATCTTAAAAGGCCTTAGAGACCATATATTTCCCATGGGTAATGGAGGATAGAGGATGGATTTGGGAAGGGAAAAGAAGATAATAGCGGTTTAGAGGAATTGCACGTGTACCCCTGGGACAGTGTTGTAAAGACAGAACACGACATTTCCACACATCATTGTGACTACATTGGTGTTCATCCTTGGGCTGCAAAACAATTTAAACATATAAAGGATGGAAATAATATGTAATAAACTCTAAAGCCTTTACTAGGGAGACCCAGTGAGATCTCTTGCATCTCAAGTATCTCTGCTTTCATGACTGGTTCTCCCACGTCTCCTCTGTTAAATATTTTCAGTCAATTTCTTTGTATTCGGTATCACCTAGTGATAGAAACTGTTTTCAATCAGATACGTAGCAGTCAAAATCTTATAATCCTGTGTAGACAGTAAATGGAGTCCATTATTCAATAATTTTGAGACAATGCCTTTATTCCTTTTAAGCTGCTGCTCCATAATAACTATCTCCTAACTTTCTGAGTTTTTGTGAAATTTATTTTTAAAAGCTTATAAAAACATTTTGGTATTACTGTCAATTGAAATATGACCAACTTTTACTGGTAGTGGGTTTAGTTCAGCTGCACATTCAAAAGTTGTGCAGGATACAGGACAATTCTTTGTTTCGGAAATCTGTCCTGTGCCAGTCACTAAATGCCAGTAAGAGTTTTGCATCCTTGAGACAACTGAATGCCCCTAGGGGCCAGTATCATCCCCATGGAAACCACTGGTAGGTTAAAAGGTTCATCCTAGCTTCACGAAGCCTTAGGCATTTGATGTGTCCTTTCTGTGCCTCAGCTTCTTGGATAATTATAATACCTATGACTGACATAGAGGATGAGGATTAGTGAGGAAATACATGTGAGGGGCATAGAACCAGGTATCTGGCACATAATAAGCTCTTAAGGAACCACTGCTATTGCCATTACTGTATAGTTATAATAATTACTATTGTCACATTATTATTAGTATACTGTTAATATGCTTTTATATGAAAGACTTCTACTGTCATCTCAAATTGTGGTCCTAAACTGCTCCCACAGGTGTATAAAATAGCAGCTGGGGATGCCTCTCCCTGCCTCCACCTCCAGCCATGGAACCCACCTGTGAGCTCAGGAGAATTCAGTGCTTATGAAACTGGACTCTCCTGGCATGATTCTCTGGGTACTGGAGCTGAGCCCAGAGGGGTTGTCCACAACTCACCCTACTGGAGAGGGACCTCCATAGGGACAACCCCAGGAAGGGGATATGCAGGCCTGGGAAGGCTGGGGCTAGTCCTTGACCCAAGGCTAGTCTCATGACCCTGCCAGATGAGAAAGGGGTGGGGTAGTGTGTTACTCCCTGGGCTGGAGGCACAGAACTGGCAGACAAGGGACACTCCAGGGACAGCATGGGCCCTGGTGATGTCTTCCAGCAAAGGCTATAGAGCTAGTAAAGAAGGGATCCTGGCAAACCTCCTCCCTCTTCCCACATCATTCCCCTGCAGGTGACCAGGGAGCCTTTGCAACCTCGCCGCTTCCACTCCCTCACATTTGGAAGTGAACTGGAGTTTTCAAAGTGATTTTCATCCATTTCCTCATTTCCCCTTCTTGAAAGTTCCATAAGATGGTTTAATATACCCATTTTCCAGATAAGGATACTGAGACTCAAGAATTTAGTGACTTGTGCAAACCTTCATGTGGCTAGCAAGGGGCATCTTGCTAGGACCAGGAGTTGAGGGTGACATGCCACCTTCTCTTATTAGTGTTGGCAATGAGGTGAGGCTCGGGATGAGGAGAGGGCCGTGGCATGGCTCTAGTTCCTTGGCAGCAGCAGGGTCTGAGGCTTGGCTGCCTGCCTGAGCCTGTCGTGCCTCTCTTCAAAAATAACTAAGTGATCATGCAGTTACACAGCACTCTCCTGTTCCTTTTTTTTTTTTTTTTGAGACGGAGTTTTACTGTTGCCCAGGCTGAGTGCAGTGGCATAATCTTGGCTCGCTACAACCTTTGCCTCTGGGTTCAAGCAATTATCTGCCTCAACCTCCGGAGTAGCTGGGATTACAGGCGCCCACTACCACACCCGGCTAATTCTTTGCATTTTTGGTAGAGACAGGGTTTCACCATCTTGACCAGGCTGGTCTTGAACTGCTGACCTGGTGATCCACTTGCCTTGGCCTCCAGAAAGCACCACTTCTTAAAGGGCATTCTGCTACTTGCATTTTCATTTACACTTCCTTAGCTACTGTCCCCTTTTTGCAAATCCCAACCTGGCTTGATCTGGGCAGAGAGTGGAGCAGGCACCAGCCCTCATCATCCCTTGAGAGGAGGAGCCAGCCCTTGTTGGTGGATGCAGTGATGCCCATTGGTGCTCTGTGGTCTCACATTCCACCTCCTCCCCAATCCCTTGCCACTGGCTCTGGCCCAGATGGAGGCTGCAGATAAAGGCTCAGCCCCTCTGGAAAGTGATGAGTTCTCCAATATGCAGGCCCTCCCCCAGAGCCTGTATCTGGTCACAACTCTCCCTGATTCACAAAGGACATCATCCTGGGGATGTGACAAAATCCAAAATAGAGTCAAATTTTTTAAATGACCACCCCCACACTAGCCGTTAGAAATGGGAACGAGCCGGGCACAGTGGCTCACGCCTGTAATCCCAGCACTTTGGGAGGCTGAGGCAGGTGGATCACAAGGTCAGGAGATGGTAGACCATCCTGGCCAACATGGCGAAACCCCATCTCTACTTAAAATACAAAAATTAGCTGGGCATTGTGGTATGTGCCTGTAATCCCAGCTACTGGAGAGGCTGAGGCAGGAGAATCGCTTGAACCAGAGAGTCGGAGGTTGCAGTGAGCCAAGATTGTGCCACTGTACTCCAGCCTGGTGACAGAGTGAGACTTGGGAACAGGTATCTCTGTTCAGCTTCAGTCATGAAAGCCAAGCCGGTGTAAGGTCAGGAATGAGAGGAAGCTCGCTTTCTCATCTCCCCTTCTCGCTTTTCCTTGAGCCAGCCCTCCCTCAGGCAACCTGCAGAAGCCGAGCTGAGCCCGCCAGCCTCCCAGGTACACTTCTTCTCTTCCACTACCCGCCCACACAATTTGCCAGGCTTCTTGACTCTTGCTCCCCACAGTAAGATTCCAAACTGAGAAGCGCTGGTAGAGCCCTTCATACTGAGTGTCAGTACCTGATAACCACTAAACACCTGCCAGGAGAAATAAACCAAAGGGATTGAGGCTGCATGAGAATCGGGGTGGTCTCACGCTTCTCACCAAATTATACACCTTCTTGTAAAGTGGCAATATAGCACATTGTGTAGTAATCGAGAAAGGCGGGGAATTCATTTTCTTCTCCTGCTGTCTTACCCTTTGTCTCAGAGTCAAACCAAGGGAAGGTGCCAGGGCCTGAAGCATCTGATACTCTCATTATACAGAACCTTGGGACAAACCCTAATCTGGGGTCACCTGGCCTGAAACGATGATGCTGGTGTTGGCAGCTTACCATCGCTTCCCCAGCTCCTGGGGATGGCAGCCGTGAAGTGCAGGCTAAGGCATGGGGGAAGAGGAGAGCATATGTTTTGCACCCAGCCTACTCCCCAGCCCCCATTCCCCTTTCCTGCCAACCCCATAAGCTGCCACACACTCTGAGGGCGGACACAGAGTAGGAGACACACACCACATGTACAAACCATTCATTTTATTTCCTGTATTGAGTTTATACAAACTTGCAAGATACAAATGCAGAACTCACTGGGATTCTTTAGTACCTAAATCTAAAAAGAATGCTGCTGAAAGGAGGAAGCAAATTCTCACCTGTTTCAGTCAGGACGCCCTCCTCCTCCCGGGGAGGTGGGTCATTGGCTAGAAAGATGCTAAGGGGATGCTACAGCTGTTTGCCCCCGACAGAGATTCCATCTGTCTAAACTTCACCCTTCTTCTAAGGTCACTTTTATACTAAATAAAAACACTGACACCATAAATGTCCTTGTATGGTTTATTGTCTAATACTAGCAAATAAAATTGGCCCCGATATGTGCATAAATAGATATTTGTGTGTGTATATATATGTGTGTGTGTATATACTATTTTTCCTTCGTTTTAGGAGCTGCCAGGTGGAGGGTGCCTAAAGGGGAAAGGAATTGGTTCCCTCTTGCTGTAGCCAGCCCTGCCCAAGAACACGCCTCTCCAAAAGGCAGGAGAGCAAGCATGTCACTTGCAACCTCAGAAAATCTTCAAAGTGACAGTAGCAGTATTTGATTACAGCCTCTTGGTTACTGATCATGGAGGTAAGGTGCTAATTGAGAAGTCCCTGGATGAATAATCAGAGTCCCCAGGTGGGTCACTTAGCCCCGGGCCCCATCTGGGCTCTGTTCATTCAGAGCAGGATGTTCCAGACTGGCGACAGGGTGTCAGTAAATGCCTCAGGTGGGAGGCCAGGCTTCAAACACTGGCCAGGAGCTCTGCTCCAGATTCCCAAAGCCTTGATTTCAGATCTAGACAAAGACTTCTATCCTGCCCAAATCCTTGCAAGGCCAGAGACCTTTTGCCCACTTTGACGGTTGACAAAGACTGAGCAGTTTGGAAGGCTGAGCTGGCTTAGTCCGGCGCCCCAGTGGCAGCCTGCCGGGGTAAAGTCCTCGGGGTTTCTTGGGTGAGGCCATTACCTTGTTTGTAGGACCCTCCTCAGCCCAGAAGCTGATTTTGCAGTCTGGATGCCAGACTGAAGTATCATCCCTTTGGAATACCCCCAGAGAGAAAGGGTGCAGCGGGGGGATGTCATAGATGTGACCCAGACAGAGAGGGATCAAGTGAAGAGGAGTGTGACAGGCCCAAGGAACTCGTACATGTCTGTGCTGAAGGACCAGGGATGGCCCAGAGGATCCCAAGCCGCCTCCTCTGGGCTTCGCACCACCTCGTAGACTGACATCCTTAGTGTTTGGTATAGGCTGCCATTCTACTGTCTGCCCTTCCCAGCAGGCTGATGAAGAGGGGTAGTCCAGCAGCTCAACTGGGGTGCATGCCTTCATGGGTCTCTGTGCAAAAGAGTTCCTTCCAAAGGATTCACGCCTGACAACTGCAGAGGGTCATCAGGAGCAGCCAGTGTAATCAAATCCTTAGACCAGAACTTCAAGGGAATGCCCTGCCCTGGCAAGATGCTCTCTGGGTGAGCTCTGGGGACCAGCCCTTTCCTGACTGGGGAAGAGGGTGGAAGGCAGCCACTGTGGCAGAGGGAACGGCACAGCGTTGGGACCTCAAGACAGTTACCCCATCTCCTCACCTCGTGTGCCCATTCCATTCAGACATTGCACATTTTGAAAATAGATTTGCTTTTTTAAAACAAAAGCATAAAATAAATCTGTCTTAAAATAAGTCTTTCCTCTCCTCTTCTTTGGATCAAAAAGGCAAGGGCTATGGCCTCGATATGCTAGGAACAATGTGGGAAATACGGGAGAGAAAAACGGGCCTGGGTGGGAACTGCAGGAAAAGATCAGACATCCAAACAAATAGATTACATATATAGATCTATAATATGTATAATCTCCATAAAACATATATTAAGGCATGTAAAGCAACATAAAGAGCCAGCTTTATGAAATAAGAGGTGAGAGAGAGGTGGCAGAGGTGCAGACATTATTTCTTGATATTTTACATGTATTTCTAAAAAATATTACTTAAAAAAAAAAAAGAGACGGACAAAGCGGCAGGCATGGAAGGCCCTGAAAAACCTGTTTCCTGTGGAGGGAGAAAGGCGTGGGAGAAAGAGGGAGAGGAGATGACCTGGGAGCCAATCCCACCTGCTAGTCTGCAGGGGAGAAAGGGCAGGTTTGGGGTGCTTGAACTGTGAAGATGGGAAATAGAGCCAAGGGTCACGTTTACAAAACCTGCTAGAAGTGAAGATAGCTGGAAGCCTCCCAGGCTATAATCCCTCAGAAACATGAGGATCTCCTAAGCACCTAGAACAGTGCCTGGCACATAAAAGGTGCTCGATAAATATTTGTTGAGTAAATTGTCATCTTTACTTGCATATGAACCAGTAACTGTCCCAGCCATGAAGGAGTGGAGAGGAATTAGTAGGTGTTCTTGGGACCACTGGAGGTCAGGCTGAAGCCTCTGGGTGACGACTCTAGCAGAGAGAAGGCTGAGGGGCCACGGTGTCTTCAGCTTCGCTAATTCCTCCTCTCTGGCTACATTCATCTCCAGGTGGGTGGAGCCAAGGAAGAATTCACTTTGCTTTATTGTCTCTCCCCCACCGGCCTCCCTGGGCAGGTGGATTGTGAGAGTGCCTAGCCTCAGCCAGTCCTCCTGTGGGATGCCTGGGATGGGGGAGGGTCCTGGAATCTGGCCTCCCAGATTGCGGCCTCACCCCCACTCCTCAAGGCATACTCTCAGCTGGCCTACTGCACATTCCAGGGGGAACAGGGCAAGAAATATCGTGGAACTGGGTAGGTAAGTCCCCGAAGATGACCACACCCTGCATAAGACAAGTCCTTCTCTTTGCCCCTTACCCCAGGATGGGGAGGCAGACACCAGGCGCAGATCTACCACAGCCATCTCCCAGGCAGTCACTATTCAACCCCCTTCACCCTGATCCCCACACCAAGCATCTCCACTGAGGCTGCCATGGGCTCCACTGGTGGGTCCTCCTGGGAACAAGGTGGGAGGAGCAGAGGTGACGGTCTGGCACTGCACCGGGCACTAGCCTAAGGCTCCACCTGGGGAAACCAATCCAATACCCCCTTTCCAATCTCCCTCCTTCCCACTTTACATGCCAATGTGTCCTGCTGCTTCCCCCTCCTCCTACTCTGAGGATCTCTCTCTCTCTTTCTCTTTCCTTCTGTCTTTCTCTCTCTGCTACCCTTTCCAACCTGCCCTCAGACGCTTCACAGACCTGCTCTTCTCTAGCCACAGCCAGCACTGTTTCCTCTGGGAGCCAGTAGCCTCTCCCCATCTCTCATCTCCTTGTCTTTGGCTCAAGCAGGGTGGTCAGTCTTCACAGATGCCAGCAAGCACCCATAAGCAAAGCACTGGGTTTGTGTCAAAGCCCTGGGTCCAGCTGGGGCAGCAGGGTGGGGCTGATGAGGATAGGGGTGATGACAGGTGCTGTCCTCGGTGTCAGGCTGGCTCCAAGAGGCCGTGTCCATCTCCTCTTCACCTCTAGTCCTGACCTAAGATAGCCACAGGCATGTTCTCCACCACGGCATGTCCCCTATCAGGGAATGTTCCACTGGAGTCACGACAATCCCAGCCAGGGCCAGGCTGAGGCTCCCTGTGACTTGGGCATCAGCAAGGATGGCACTCTCCACTGCCATGTTAGGCCCTGGCCCAGGACCACTGTGTGAGTAGTGAGGGCTCCAGGGCTAGGCGTGGTGGGTGTGTGGATACCCAGGCATCCATGCTCCTCTCGACAGTAGCCCATGGCCCCAGCCTGGCTCCCTGCGGCATTCCCATGAGAGTGCAGGGTCAGGGGGCCAGGGTGGGGAGCCAGGACCCGAGGTGGGCAGAGGACGGCTTCAGAATGTGGCTCTGTGGAGCTTCACAGCATTGGCCTCAGCCAGGGCTTGCACTGGAGAAAAGAGAAATGGGGTGAGAAGAGGGCTGCACAGAGGAGCAAGGACTCCAGCCAACCTCCCCTGGAGAAAGAAGCCTCATCCTGCAAAAACCTGGCAGAAACCACCCCAGTCCCTCAACCCCGAGAGGGGAACAAAGGAAAGGAAGTATCACTGTTTTTTTTCTACTTGACTGAGAGTGAGCGGCTGTGGGCTGGGGAAGGGAAGGGTTCACAGCTTTTGGCTATAGTTGTCAATGTTATTTTAAATTACAATTAGATTTGGGAGTGGAGAAACAGCTTTTGGGGGCTTCTGAAGGTTCTGCATCTGTGTATCTCAACAGATGGAAAGCTTGTCAGCAGACAGAAGGCACAGGGGTGGGGTGTCAGGGAAGAGCCTTCCCTGAGAGCAGACAGGTGAGGTCTCGGCTCCATTCCCTGTCTGCTTCTGGAGAAGCAAAGGCCATGGGCATCACAGCATCCAAGAAGCGGCCCTGCCAGCCAGCTCCAGCCCAGCACTGCGTGGGGAAGCCGGATGGATGGACGGATAAATGAACGGACGGATGGACGGACGGATGGATGGTGGGGAGGAGTGGCATAGGGCACCGGGGTAGAGGAGAAGCAATGCCAAAATGAGAGGGCATAGATGGCTTAATGGGGGTGGAGGAAGGGGCCCCACTCCCCAGGTGGATGAAATACAGTTGAAAAGTGCTTACGTCAGAGCTCAGACCCGCATGGTATGGCTGCTGTCGGCGCCCCGTGGGGATTCAGACGACAGGGGGTTGGCTGGAGGAGTCGGGGAAGCAGGGGAAGTGGGAGGGCTTGGGGTGGCACATTGCACTGGAAACAGAAATGAACAGGGAGGTGAATGGGGGTGGGTGGGGGAGGAGGGTGGGCACCCAGAGCAAGCGAGCTCCTCCCCAGGCGGGGCGCGAGGCAGGGAGGCAAGCAGAGAGAAAGCGCTGAGCTTGGAGCTCGCTCAAGCTAGGCCAAGCTGTCCTCGTTCCCAGGGCGCCATGGAGGAGAGTGTGAGGCCCCAGAGGAGACCTGGCCGAATCTAGGCTCTGCTGAGAACCAGTGTGACTGTGAGTAAGGCCAGGCCCCCTCTGGGCCAAGAGCTCCCCTCCGTCCACACAACGGGGAGATTCACACACCTCTCCACTACTGTGCAGATAGAAACAGGGAGTGGCACTTTATACATGGGGCGTCACTAATGATAATGATATGAATCATTATCATTGTGCAGTAAAATCACACTAAATGAGTGCAGGAAAATCGTACTAAGCCAAACCATCGGCCCCATTTAATGAACAGAAGTAAAGTGACCATCATGTTAACCAATGTCACGAAAACAGAGATTTCTGATCAAGAGTTCTGTTAACTTGGCACAGTCATGGCTTGTAAACATGTTCCCTGCTAACACTTGAGACCCCCTTTTCATCAGTCCAGTAAAGACAAACCTGGGTCCGCCCCTTAGCAAATTGAGACAAGCCTGAAGTGACGTTTGAATTAATGAGATTTTACCCTATTATCATTATTATTGCATGTTAAGAATAGCAAAGTGGAAGGACAATGAGAAGGGAAGACTGATTAATGGGGACAAGCTCTATGCAGTCTCCAGACCCTCACTGTAGCCGTGAGGCAGGAGGATGGCAGAGACAACATCCTTGCTCAGGCTCAGAAAGGAACCAGACCTCAGCCAGGGTCACACTGCACTTCCACCAAGAGAGGGATCCCAACAGTGAACTTCCCACCCTCATCCCCACCCTACTCTGGACCTCATCACCTTCCCTACCCTCTGTGCAAAAGAAAGGGCCAAGGTGGCTCCTGTAATTACATATCTAACACACCTACATGTGCGTGGAACACACATAGATCTCACGTGGATGTGAAGTTGTCTGCCTATACACAAAAGTTTGTGCATGGTAACTGGCAACACCACACCATTACGCTCATTGCACACAGCTCAGATATGTGTATTTGTGTATTTCCAAGCCTGAGCCCTTACACGTGACCCAACACGTGTAACTTCATGTGCAAATACACCCGCAAACACGTTCAAACACACATTCGTGTGCATATGCACATCACCGACCCAAGGGTTAGTCATCCAGCAGTCTCAGCTTATAAAACAGCCAAAAAAACAAAAAATGAAGCAAAAGATATCTCAGGGAAGCCAACACAGAGGTTACAGCCTCCATGGCATGCAGTGAAGCCCTCACAATTTACTCATAGGGACCCCTTGTGAGTCCAGTTACTCTTATTGATACACAATTCTAATAATAGGTGTTGACTCGCTGGGTTTCTAGCCCAGTGGAGATTAGAAACGGGAAAATTCAAAGACACGGAGAAACTGGGAGGCCCACTGACATCTATAAGAAAGCACGACTGAGGAGAGAAAATGTTTTGTAAAAAGCAGACATAACAGCTTTAAAAGCGTGACGATTGGGGAACATTCAGCATAGCCTCAAACAGATCTGTGTCCACTGTAGCCCCTACGGGCATTCCTTTAACAGAGGTCAGCAAAATGAAGGTATTTATAATGATAATCATGAGCAAGAAAAGGTCCTATGAAAACAGAAGTTTGTTAAGATGGCAGAAAAATACTCCACATATATTAGAAATAGACCCATCAAAATAGTTAAAATTCACATATGCTGCAGATGTGTATCATACAGATATGATATTATGATGTGTGCACTCACGAGTACCTGCGTGCAGCAATCAGTCACACATACTCACATTCACAACACTGTGCTTTCTCCCAGCCTGTGCACACGGACCTATGTTCACCATATTGCAATATATATACTGTACACAACATATACACAAATACGCTTTGTCATTTCCCATACTGCAGAAAAGGCACGTAAATACATGCCTTCATAAACACTACCTCCACTGATATATTGTACAATCATATACATGTATATTTATGTTCCAAGGGCTTACCAAATACCAGCTGGACTTACAAATAATGGGTCTCCACACAACATCCTTAGAAATTTTGCATAGATGCACACATTCCTACATTTGTACTCTAACCTTTCCTCTACTCCCACACTGTACACTTGAATACACACAAATGTGTGTATCTACAAACATCACCAGATCCAGACACTGCACATGACATTCATGCCACACGTACACACTCAAAAATGCCACAACTTCCCACATATTACATACCTGAGTTTGCACGCACTGGGTGAATCTGCAAGCATGACAGCATTCCTCACTGATTACTCTGCCCATGCCACATGCCACACACAGCACTGAACTCTACACGCTGTACCCACTGCACAATGTGCTCATGACCTGTGCCCAGCACTGCCACACACACAGTGTCCAGGGTGTGAACCTGTGCCCTCACTGTACGTACCCAGGACCAGGCTTGCTGTGCCTGGCAGGGCTGTAGCTCTGAGGAGGTGGGCCACAGGCGAGGGGCAGTTGGGACAGTGGGCTAAGTCTGAGGTCTGGCCCTGCCACAGCCATTTTTTTAAATAGTTGAGGTTTTGGCAAAAGCAGGTGACCATTTGGTTTCAGCACACAGACCCTGATAAGATGGAAATCAGATAGGCTGGGTAGGTTTTGTTTTCATAGAACCTTTGGCTAAGGAACTAGTAGGGAGGGCCAGGGGCTGGGGCTGGGGCTGGGGCAGAGCAAAGTTTTCAAACCAGCCTTGTCTCTCTAACCCCTTGAAAACAGGAAGTTGCTTTTGCCCAGAGCATGTGGAATCTGATCTTTGGAAGGTTCAAGTTCATTTTGCAGCTAAACTACAGGGAGGTTCAGCAGAGGCCTGCTTCCTTGTGGCCAAACTGGTTTTGTTGCCTTTTGGCTGCAGGATGGGGCTCTCTGAAGCTATCCCTTCTCCTCCCCTCAGCTCCAGCCTAAAGACAGCCTCTCCCTGAAATGCCTCCAAGTCTCTCCCTGGCCACCCATGCTGAAGTCCATGACACCTTAACTGGTTAAGGCGTACTTAAATCATCTCTGCCGTAGCTAAGATCTTCTGGTTTCTGAAAACATTCATATTTAAAACAATTAGCAAAATGACAAATAGTTTCTATTTCTACTTCAGCTATTACTATTTCAACTACAACTACCAGCATCACAGTGCTACTGCTACTGTCGCCACTACTACGGCTTGCAAGCATGTATTGAGCACTTACTGAATGCCAGGCACTGTGCTAGGTGCTTGGCACACATTGTTTCCGATCCTCATGCCACCAGAACTGGAGGCAGAAATTTTGATTTGAATTTCACAGATGAGGAAATGGAACCTCAGAGCACCAGAATTTGAACCCTCCTTAATCACCAACATGAAACACCAGCCCTTCCACTTGGTTCCAAGCCACGATTCTGACCTGCTCCCGGCCTGACTCCTGCCTGGGCTGCTGTAACTGAGGCCCGCACACCTGCTCTCGCTCCTCTGCCAATGCCGTCTCCAACTATGGCTCTGCCTTCCGAGTCATTGCTCTTTACTGCGGACTTCAAAGCTCTCACTCTCACTACCTCTCTGTCCTAGCACCTTCATCTTGAGGAAGAGAACAGTTTCCCAGGCTCCTTGACTTACCCACTGTCTCTCCTCTCCCTTTAACCCTCCCATTCATATAGAATCTCTTTCATTCTTAAAAGATCAATGACATTTTCCTCTATTCTGGGATGGTAGCTCAGGCTAAGTAGAAGCTGACCCTGTTGATCTCAACCCTACCAGCCTCTAGCCAGGACCTGGTAGCCTTTGCATCAGTGCGAAGTCAGCTCCTCACAGTTATCTTTTCTTAGCAGAAAGGCAGGCTTAGATCAGTAGCCAAGGTGCTCATTGTATCGCTCTCAACTCTTTGCCTGCACCATCTTTCCTTTGATTCTTCCTATTTGCATGCAGCAAGAAAGGGAAATGAAAGGACACTCTGGAATAGATGGCCCTCTCCCTGACACTCCCCTGAGCCCTGAGGAGTTGAAGGAGAAGCAGAAGAAGGTGGAGAGGATCAAGACGCTCATTGCCAAATCCAGGTAACCATCTGGAAGAGTTTCTATTTCCTCTGCCCACCCTGAAAAATAGTTTTACCTTTCTCTGTCAAACTCAGTTATCATTTTTTCTCTGCGCCTTTCCCTGCCCTGCCCAGGCAGAATGGCTCCCCGTGCTCTGCATGGTTTCTGGCCATGACTCCCTCAGGTGACTGTAAGGATCATCCCGGCTCTGAGCTCCTGGTTGTCAGCAACTCTGGCCCCTTTGCACCTCCCTCAGCCTAGCACAGTACCTGGTGCTCAATAGATGCTCATCTCAACCTCCAGGAGCTTCTCCTCAGCTTCATATCGCTCTGCTCCTGCCCCCCTTGCAGCAGAGCCACGCTTCCTCCCCTACACCTGGTCTGCTGGTTTCCCTGGCAGGGTGGAGCGAGGCCCAGCCCCTCTCACCAGACAGCATGCGGCCCCTGCGGGAGGCCTCGGTCGCCAGGGCGCAGGAGATTTCAATCCGCTTCTCCTGCTCCTGCAGCTGGCTCTCTGAGTCCTGGGGCACGTCCACAGAGTCCCCCTCGCCGATGGGCACCACGTTCTGCATACTGAAGAGGCACAGACACACAGAAATGGAGGGAGGGACAGGATGGTCTAAGTGGCCTGGGGGGGCCTGCAGACTGAGGTTGGCAGGGAGGGCCAGGGCCCCGAGAATGTGCAGTCTCTGGTTCCCAGCAAGGCTGTCCCTAGGAGTGAGTGGGACCCTCGAAAAACACAGGTTGGGACCCTTACCCTCAATGTTCTCAAATGAATTAAAAGGTTCAAGTGAGCATTTAGGGCAGAGCCTTGAAGGGAAAAGAAGTCAGCAGAGGACGAGCCTTCAGTTTTGTCTTGATGGTGTGATGTGCATGAGCTGGCAGGTCTTACCAGCACCCAACGACCGCATCCCTGCCTCTGCTGGTGGCTGGGCCCTGTCTGCTGCCTGGAGCCACCACCTCGACGTGCTCTCCCCTGGGGAGGCTCTGTGCCCCCAGCGACTTCTAGTGGCCCAGGTGTCCTAGGTGCCAGGGTGGGCAGAGGAAATAGAAACTCTTCCAGATGGTTACCTGGATTTGGCAATGAGCGTCTTGATCCTCTCCACCTTCTTCTGCTTCTCCTTCAACTCCTCAGGGCTCAGGGGAGTGTCAGGCTCCAGGTCAATGTACCGTTCGGGGATGAGGACTTTGTCTGGAGTGGAGAGCTATGGAGGGGCTGGGGTCACCACCTACGTTCCCTCCCAGGATCGCCCACTCCAGCCCTTCCTGGTTCCACTCACCTCCTTATTGATGTCCACATCATAGTGCTGGGGCTCTAGCTCCATTTTGCGAAGCCGGGCGATTTCCTCCCGGGGTGTCTCGTAGGTCCGCCCACCAGGCTCCTCTGCCCGCAGGGCTGCCTCCAGGTTGGAGATGTCCACCTCGTGGATGCTGCGGTGGCGGCGCACCTAGGGGACACAAGCACCATCATGGCACCATGGCTATCCAGGCCTCCCGGCAGCTCTAACCATGCCCTGTCCTGTGCTCCCTTCCCAGCCCACCTGATCCAGCTGCCACCCCACTGCTCCCACTGCACCCCACTGCAGAACTATCCTCCTTCCTTTCCGCTGGCCCAAAGTCTGCCCACCTGCTAGGCCCTAGAGGCGACATCTCACTGACATCTCTTGTCAGTTCTTGCCGTTCCCCATCCTGCCCTACCCCGTATTCACATTCTGTGCTGTGTATTTTGGGCAGTTGAATTAGTGTGACTTATTTAGATTTCTTTTTATTTTTTATGAAACAAGGTCTTGCTGTCGCTCCTGCTGCACAGTGACAGAATCATAGCTTGCTGTAATCTCCAACTCCCGGCTTGAGTCCTCCCATCCCAGCCTCTTCCCAAGTAGCTGGGACTGTAGGGGCACACCACCATGCCCAGCTAGTTTTTCAACATGTTTTTATAGAGACGGGGTCTTGCTTTGTTGTCAGGTTGGTCTCAGACTCGTGGCCTCAAACGATCCTCCCACCTTGGCCTCCCAAAGTGCTGGGATTACAGGCATGAGCCAACCACACCCAGCGAACTTCTAATGATTTCACATTATAGAAGTTTGAATCCATCAACTAGAATGTAAGCTGTTGAGGACAGGACTTACAAGTCATAATATTTCCATATTTCTAAACTTTAATAGAAAGAAAACTGAAAAGATGTCTTGGGCTACCCCCAGCTCTGTATGTAATGGCTGTGTAGTCCAGGAATCCTTTAATTTCTCCTCACTTTGTTTCCCCATCTGCAGAACGGGGATAATAATTCGTAACCCAATGTTGTTAAAAGGATTAAATGAAGTAACATGAAAGGGATTTCTAGATTATACAGTGCCATGCGGCGGTGAGCTACTGTGATTGTCGTGCTAGCAGCCAGCCTAGTGCTAGGCACAGAGGAGATGCTCCAGAAACGTGTATTAGTTATGACTTGTTATTTTTTTTTTGAGACAGAGTTTCGCTCTTGTTACCCAGGCTGGAGTGCAATGGCGTGATCTCGGCTCACCGCAACCTCTGTCTTCTGGGTTCAAGCAATTCTCCTGCCTCAGCCTCCCGAGTAGCTGGGACTACAGGCGCGCACCACCGTGCCCAGCTAATTTTTGTATTTTTTTTTTTTTTAGTAGAAACGGGGTTTCACCTTGTTGACCAGGATGGTCTCAATCTCTTGACCTCGTGATCCACCCGCCTCGGCCTCCCAAAGTGCTGGGATTATAGGTGTGAGCCACCACGCCCGGCCTTATTTTTATTTTTAAAATATTTATTTATTTATTTATTTATTTATTTATTTATTGAGACGGAGTCTCGCTCTGTCTCCCAGGCTGGAGTGCAGTGGTGTGATCTTAGCTCACTGCAACCTCCTTCTCCCAGGTTCAAACAATTCTCCTACCTCAGCCTCCCAAGTAGCTGGGATTACAGGGATGTGCCACCACACCTGGCTGACTTTTGTATTTTTGTAGAGATGGGGTTTCACCATGTCGGCCTGCCTCAGCCTCCCAAAGTGCTGGGTTTACAGGCATGAGACACCGCACCTGGCCAGTGACAGCTATTTCCACATGGTGAATTCTGTACTATTCTCTATTAAGTGAATTTTGTATAATTCATTTCAACAAAAATAATAAAGGCATTCCTTTTTGTGAGTTGTTTTCTTTAAACAAGAAAAAATCAACACTTGAAGGACTCTTCTGCCAGTGGGGGAGAGAACTCTCTGGCTCTCCCAGCTGCCCAGCTTGGGTTCTTTCCCCTCTTTCCTCTCAAACCCCCCAGGCCCAGGCTGGCCATGCCCTGGGAGTGGGCAGTGTTGGCAGATGCCAGGCTCGTGCCTGTGGGTAGCTGGGAAGGCATTACCACTTTGTAGGCTGGCCGGGGACTGGGCTCAGGGGCCGGGCTGGCCGGGAGCTGCAGGCTCCTCCGCTTCTCCTTCATGGAGCCACTCTGGTGCCGCCGCATTCGGTCAATCTGCTCCTCCACGCTCATCTTGACCTTCCCCTCACCAGGGAACACAGCACTCTTGGGGCGTTCCTGCTGCCAAGGGAAAACAGAGCTCTGACAAGTGCCTTATTGCCCACCCAGCTTTTCCATCCTGAACCCTTAACATTTACCTTCTATAGGAAGTCTGCCTGTAGTGGGCTGAACAGTGGTCCCCAAAAGATACCCCAGGTACCCGAGAGTGTAACCTTATTTAGAAATATGAGATAACTGCTGGGCGCGGTGGCTCACGCCTGTAATCCCAGCACTTTGGGAGGCCGAGGTGGGTGGATCACGAGGTCAGGAGTTCAAGACCAGCCTGAACAACATGGTAAAATCCTGTCTCTACTAAAAGTACAAAATTTAGCCAGGCGTGGTGGCATATACCTGTAGTCCCAGCTACTTGGGACACTGAGGCAAGAGAATCGCTTGAACCCAGGAGGCGGAGGTTGCAGTGAGCAGAGATTGTGCCACTGCACTCCAGCCTGGATGACAGAGTAAGACTCAGTATCAAAAAAAAAAAGAAAAGAAATATGAGGTCATCCTGAATTAGAGTGGGCCCTAATCCAATAATGGGTGTTCTCATAAGAGACAGAAGAAAAGATGACACACAGGGTAGAGGTGACATGAAGAGGGAGGAAGAAATTGGAGTGGTTCATTTACTCAGAAAGAAATGCCAAGGGTTGCCAGCAATAACCAGAAGTTAGGAGAGAAGCCTGGAACAGATTCTCCCTTAGAGCCTCCAGAAGGAGCCAACCCTGACACCACCTGGATTTTGGACTTATGCATCCATAACAGCACACACTTCTACTGTTTAAAGCCACCTTGTGTGTGGTCATTTGTTACAGGAGTCCTAGGAAACTAACACAGATTTTGGTACTGGGAAGGGGGGGGTGCTGCTATAACACATACCTAAAAATGTGGTAGAGACTTTGGAATTGGGTAATGGGTAGAGGCTGGGAGAATGTCAAGGTACATAATAGAAAAAGCCTAGTGGATTTCCTTGAAGACATGACTGGCAGAAACATGAACTTCAAAGATGATTCTGGTAAGGGCTCAGAGGACGTGAACAGCATAGTAAAGAAAGCTTCTATTGCCATAGAGAATATAGTCATGCCTCTGTATCCCAGGGGACTGGTCCCAGGACCCTGCTGGATATCAAAATTCATGAATTCTTAAATCCCTGCTGTAAAATGGTGTAGATGTGTGTATAACCCACATATATCCTCTTGTATACTTTAAATCATCTTTAGATTACTTATAATGCCTAATATAATGTAAATGCCATATAAATAGTTGTTATCCTGTATGGTTGGCTTTCTTCTTCCCCTCCCCCCAAGATGGGGTCTTGCTCTGTCACCCAGGCTGGAGTACAGTGGTGCAATCATAGCTCACCACAGACTTGAACTCCTGGGTTCAAGCAATCTTCCTGCATCAGCTTTCCAAGTTGCTGGGACTACAGACACATGCCAGTTTGCCTGGCTAATTTTTTAATTATTATTATTTGTGGAGATGAGGTCTTGCTTTGTTCCCAAGCTGGTCTCGAACTCTAAGCTTCAAGCAATCCTCTTGTCCCAAAGTGCTGGGATTATAAGTGTGAGCCACCATGCCTGGCTTGTACTGCTTTTTATTATTTTATTTTTACTGTTGTAGTTTTAAATTGTTTTTTTCCCTGAATATTTTTGATCTGAAGTGGTTGAATCCATGGATGTGGAACCCACAGATAGGGAGAGCCCACTGTATATATATCATGAATGGAACGCTGGTAGAAATATGAATGTTAAAGATGCTTCTGGTAAGGTCTCAGAAGGAAATGAGAAATGTGTTATTAGAAAGTGGAAGAAAGGTCATCTTTATAAAGTGGTAGAAGTTTAGATGAATTGTTTTCTACTGCTGAGTGGAAACAACTTGAACGCTATGATGAACTTAGATATTTAGCTGAGGAGATTTCCCAGCAAAGTGTTGAAGGTGTGGCCTGTTTCTCTTTGTACTAATAGGAAAATGACAGAGAGAAAATAAATTGAAGAAAGAGCTGTTAAGCCAAGAGAAACCAGCACTTTTTTATTTGGGAGGTTCTCAGCCTACCTACTTCACAAAGGATGCTTAAATTAGCAAACTCATTGTAGAAAAAGCATGCCCCAGAGAGAGGGTCAAGGGTGTGACTGGACAATATTTTGCTAGAGAGATTAGATGTGTGGACCCAATTAACCATCCCAGAAGCCGGAAATAGAGATGGAGTTATCTAGAATGGACACCCTTGAAATACAAAGGGGGCCTACAAAGTTTTTGAGGCTGTTACACATGCAGAAACACTGCTAGCTTGTACAGAAAAAGACAGAGATAAGATGAAATGGAAAATGAAAATAGCTGTGAGACTTCTGAGATTCTACAGGGAGGAAATAGGCTAATAGAGCTACTTAACTACAAACACATGCTAACCTTCAAGGAAAAGCAAGAGTGACTCAGAGCAAAGCCATGGATGCAGAGGCAGGGGCTGATGGAGCCTCTGTGGACCCAGCGCCACAGAGGATTCTTCTCAGGCTTTGAAACCTAGTGGAATTTTCCCTGCTGGATTTGAAACTTGCTTGGAATGGTGACCCCTTTGTTCCTTCCAGTTTCTCTTTGTTGGGACAGGAATGACTTACTTTTTTTTTAATTTTATTTTTTTAAATTTATTTTTAAAATAGAAACAGGGTCTCACTATGTTGCCCAGGTTGGCCTCAAACTCCTGGCCCCAAGAAAGCCTCCTGCCTCAGCTTCCCAAAGTGCTGGGGTTATAGGCATGAGCCACCACACCTGGCCAGGAATGACTGACTTATGCCTGTCCTCTGCCATTGTATTTTGAAAGCAGATTAATCTTTCTTTCTTTTCTTTTGTTTTCCTTTCTTCTTTCTCTTTTTCTTTCCTCTTTTTTCTTTTTTTTCTTCTTTCCCTTTCTTTCTCTCCGTCTTTCCTCTCTTTTTTTTTTTTTTTCCTCTCTCTCTTTCTATTTTGTTTTTTGTTTTTGTCTTGTTCTGTTGTCCAGGCTAAAGTGCAGTGGCATGACCACAGCTCACTGCAGCCTCAACTTCCAGGGCTCAGATGATCTTCCAGTCTAAGCCTCCTGGAGGAGGCTGCGACTATAGGCATGCACCACCACATCCAGCTAATTTGATTTTATTTTTTTGAGATGGAGTCTCACTCTGTTACCCAGGCTGGAGTGCAGTGGCATGATCTCAGCTCCCTGCAACCTCCACCTCCTGGGTCCAAGTGATTATCCCACCTCAGCCTCCTGAATAGGTGAGATTACAGGTGCATGCCATCATGCCCAGCTAATTCTTGTATTTTTTTTTTTTTTTTTGAGACGGAGTTTCGCTCTTGTTACCCAGGCTGGAGTGCAATGGCGCAATCTCGGCTCACCGCAACCTCCGCCTCCTGGGCTCAGGCAATTCTCCTGCCTCAGCCTCCTGAGTAGCTGGGATTACAGGCATGCGCCACCATGCCCAGCTAATTTTTTGTATTTTTAGTAGAGACGGGGTTTCACCATGTTGGCCAGGCTGGTCTTGAACTCCTGACCTCAGAGATCCACCTGCCTCACTCTCCCAAAGTGCTGGGATTACAGGTGTGAGCCACTGCACCTGGCCCACCTGGCTAATTTTCAAGTTTTTTGTAGAGGCAGGGTCTCACTATGTTGCCCAGACTGGTCTCAAACTCCTGGGCTCAGGCAATTCTCCTGCCTCAGCCTCCCGAGTAGCTGGGATTACAGGCATGCGCCACCATGCCCAGCTAATTTTTTGTATTTTTAGTAGAGACGGGGTTTCACCATGTTGGCCAGGCTGGTCTTGAACTCCTGACCTCAGAGATCCACCTGCCTCACTCTCCCAAAGTGCTGGGATTACAGGTGTGAGCCACTGCACCTGGCCCACCTGGCTAATTTTCAAGTTTTTTGTAGAGGCAGGGTCTCACTATGTTGCCCAGACTGGTCTCAAACTCCTGGGCTCAAGTAATCCTCCTGCCTTGACCTCCCAAAGTGCTGAGACTACAGGTGTGAACCACCGGACCCAGAAAATTAATTTGTTTTCTAGTTTTACAAATGGAGAGGAATTTTGTTCCATAATGGATCATACCTAGAGTTTCATGCATACCAGATGGAGATGAATTAGACGATGAAATTTGGGACTTGATACTGAATGATACTTCAGTGACATATTAGACTTAGGATGCAGTCACGGGCTGAGGTTTTGGGGAATGCTGGTGTTAAGAGAATGTATTTTGCAAGCGAAATGGGCATGAAATTTGGGTGTCATAGAGTGGACTGAAGTTATTGAATAGTAGCTCCCAAAAGAGACGTTCAAGTCCTAGCCCCCAATACCTGTGACCGTAACCTTATCTGGAAATAGGTCTCTGCAGATGTAATTAAGAATCTCAAGATGAGACAATCCTGGATGAGGGTGGGCCCTAAATTCAATGATGAGTATTCTTATATGGGACAGGAAAGAAGACACACAGAAAACGGGGTGATGTGAAGACGGAGGCAGAGATTTGCTTGATGCATCTGCAATCCAAGGAATGCCAAGAGTTACCAAGAACCACTGTAAGCCAGGAGAAAGGCATGAAACAGATTATTTCTCCGTGTCTCCAAAGGAACAACCCTGCTGACACCTTGATTTGGACTTCTAGCCTCCACAGCTGTGACAGAATGAGCTTCTGTTGTTTGAAGGCTCCTGGTTGGTGGTGATTGGTTAACTCCTAGCAGCCCTAGGAGATCTGCATTGCCTTGGGGTCGCACATCTGACTCTGAACACTGACTTTTGCTGCTTTCCCTCCTTTGTATTTCAGCAATAGCACATTATGACAATTTTGTAAAATATTCTTTTTTTAACTTTTAATTTTTTATTTTTTGAAACAGAGTTTCACCCTGTCACCCAAGCTGGAGTGCAGTGGTGTGATCTCGGCTCACTGCAACCTCTACCTCCTGGGTTCAAGTGATTCTCCTGCCTCAGCCTCCTGAGTATTTGGGATTACACGTGCCTATCACCATGTCCTACTAACTTTTTTGTATCTTTAGTAGAGATGGG